CCCCCCACCTGGCCCTCGTCCTGGCCCCACAGGACAGTTGCCCAACACCATGGCCCAGGTGCCCATGTGCACCCCAAAGCTCCAGGCCCTGGGGATCCCACGGCAGATGCAGTGGCTACACCTCCACCCTCTGGGGACAGACACGGAGCTCAGCCTGCACCAGCCGCTCAGATGCCCCAACCCAGCACTCTGGATACCCGGCCTCTGAGCAGCGCCTCTCCCGAAGTTAGCCAGAGCTGGTGTCTACGCCTGCAACAGGGAACATCGCCTCATATGCAGACTGGTGGCAAGAGTGGCTCCAGGCAAAGCCTTCCAGGGAAACTGGCAGAAGCTGGAACGGGTCACCCGGGCTGCTTGGGCTGAATCAGTAAAAACCAGCACAGAGTGAGAACTGATCTGGAGGCCTGTGGCGTGCAGTGCAAACAGGATGTCAGCTTTGTTGCCTGGAATCAGCGAGACCAAGAACCACTGAGGGCAAAGCTTGGAGGAAGAGGCTCAGGCTGAGAGAGAAGGAGGGCATCGGTGGTGTCACCACCGTGTGGCCCTGGGGGGCTGGGGAGCACGAGGATCCAAAGGCCACATCCTAAAACCCTAAATTCTGACTCAGGACTCAGGGGCTTAGCTGGGTGTGGCGCAGTGGTAGAGCACTTGCTTGGGTGTGTGTGGAGCCCTGGGTTTTACCCCTAGCACCACACACACACACACACACACACACACACACACACAAATCCTGTAAAATAAAAAAATGAAAGCAAACCCTGAGGACCCCTACAATGCCCTGGATGTGTCACTTAAATCTTGCAGCCACCAGGCTGAGAGCCAAAAATGAAACAAAACTTGACTGAATGGAACAGCAAATGACATCACAAACAGACGCTGCGGCCTTCCCAGCTCTTGGGGAGATTCTGGATGATTCTGGACTCGCTAAACCAAGTCCCCCTCCCACTGTATGCAGGGCTGGGCTGCCTTTACCAGGACCCCGCACCGACATCATGTCCCCAGACCCTGCAGCACCCGCTGGCTGTGGTCAGATCTCACACACCCTCAGAGGCCTGTAGGACTGGCTATCCGTCCAAGCAAAGTCTGTGCAGAGGTTTCCTGTTCATGTCATTGGAAATCTGGGGACAACTGTGAGTAGGTTGGGAGGATTCACACCAGGAAGGGGACTCAATCTTTGATTGGGCTGCATATATTAATGCAACTGTGCCTATCAGTGGCTCTGGATTTGGGGTGCTAACCTCATCAGCTGGGGTGGTTCTGACTATTTCCTCACTGGATTTGGTGAGGAGGTGAGCCAAAGTGGTGGTCACACTGACTATGGAGACGACAGAAGTGCAGCGTGTGATGGGGAGATGGGTGCCTGGGTGTTGGAATGGACATAGAAGGATGAATGGTGCACAGATAAATAAATGGAGGGATAGATGGATGGTTGGATGGATGGATGGAAGGATGGATGATATGTGGATGGAAAGATAGATAATATATGGATGGATGGTTGGATGGATGGATAGACGGATAATATATGGATGGATGCTACATGCATGGATTGTTGGATGGATGGATGGGTCAACGGATAGAGAAATACAGACTTGGAGAGAGATGATGGCTAGATATGTTAAAAGCAGATTCAACATAATCCCAATCCCTTAGATGCTTCCAATCAAGGAAGATACTGCGTTATGCATGAAATTAGCTGAGAAGTTAAAGTATCTGTAGTTAGTGGTGAGCTCAGAGTCTACAATTTCCCAGCCACACACAGAGTATGCAACAATCAGCCGGACAAGCAGAAACTTGTGACAGATGCACTACAGATCTTTTCCTTCACTCATCCAGTGAGTTTGTTGAACACCTACTATGTACCAGGTGCTTTCTGGGCTCCAAGAACAGAATAGGAAACAAAGTAACCCGTCACGAGTGTCCCTGTGGGAAGGCAGGGTAGACAAGACACGCTGTGCTTGCAGACAAAGCTGAGTGAGGACTTGAGCTATGGAGAGGGTAGAGGAGGGCTCAGGGTGGGGGTTGCACTCTGGGGAAGGTGTAGTGCTACACATGCGCAGCTTGACAGTTGCACAGACCCTGAAGTAAGTGCTGTGTCACTAATGTGCTGAGTTTTCTTTTGCTCCATTCAGGTAGAAATCGAGAGCACAGCACAGCTCTGCTAGCATCTCTGGGCTTTGAGCTCCAATGGCCCTCAGCCCTTTGTGTTACCTCTCTGGCACCCCGTGACACAAGTCAATACTAGTCAATGCTGGAGGCTGCTGTCACTGCCGCTGCCAGCCGTCACAGTTACCTGACTCCACCAGGAGCTGGTCTCTGATGCCGTGGGCAGTGCACTGGCCCCACCAGCTACTGATCTGTCTCGGATCTTCATTGGCCACTGGTCCCTAGAGCTCTTCAGGGATCAGCAGCCAGTAAGCTCATAGTTCTTCTGAAAGTAACCACTCTGTCCATACTACTCAGGATAGAACCCTAAGCACTATAGCTTTACAGAACCTTCCAAGCCCACACTATGCAAGAAATCAATGAGATTTACTAGAGCGAGGCTTTATTTGAACAAGACCTATGCTGCACCACAAGCACTTCAGCAGACCAAAGGAACTCACCCAAGATCAAGAAGCGAGAGAACAGCGCTGCTTATATAGCAGCAGTAGGCCCGTGATTGGTCCCAGTTCAAGCCTCTGATTGGTCTGAATTCAAGCCTGCCAATGGGTCCAAATTTGAGCCTACCGATTGGTCCAAATTGCTCTACCTGCAAGGCTTCTGACTGAAGCCTACTGATGGGTTTAAATTCAATTCTGCTTGGTAAAATTCAAGCTTTCTGCAGTGAGGGCAGATATCTACTAGAACAGGTATGGGGCCTCCTGGGAGGTTGCAGCCCTCACCCAGGCAGTTGCACCTAACATCCAGGGACTGCTTGATTGACAGCTGTTGCATCTCCTCAAAAAGTAAAGGGTCAGGGGGCTGGAGATTTAGTTCAGTGGCACAGCACCTGCCTGGCAAGCGCGAGGTCGTGAGTTCGATTCCCAGTACCAGAAAAAAACAAACAAACAAAAAAAAGTAAAGGGTCATAAAGTACCAGGGAATCTCAGCACTAGCTGTGTTAAACACAGCTTATTGGGGTTTGAGGTGGTTGGGGACGTTAATAATGAGCCCGGATCCCTCCCCCAGCTCTCACATGAGAGGCCGTTTCCCCTTCACTTCTTCAGAGGTGGCAGCATCTGGAGTGGGGGGCGGGCACAGTGGCTGACAACCAATAACCCAGGAGGACACCGAAGGAAGCAAGTTGTCCCAGTCTATTCTTGGGAGAGGGGGTAGGGAGTGAAGGGAACCACGGGGGAGGTGTTGACAGCTGTCTGCCCAACCATGCCCTCTCCAGCCATCACAGGAAAGGGGTACGAGTCCGCCCCCTCTCATCTGTCTCAGCAGGCTGTCTGACCATCACAGGAGAGCAGCGAACTTCCCAGGATCAACCCGGGTCTGTGGACAGGTGCTGGGATTCAGGCATAAAACAGTGGAAACACCAAAGATGGTGTCAGAAGGGGAGGGATTCACACAGCACCTGCGTCCGCTAAGCCTGCCCCTGTCCCTTGGCCTTTGCCTTCTGCACTTATCCCTTAAAACAAGTTTCGAGTGCTGCGCTCGTGGATATTTTACTTCATTAGCAGGAAGTGTCCATCACGCTGTTGCATTCGGGAGGCTGCCCATGCTGGGCCTCCAGAGGTCAGTCATGCTGTCTGGCTGAGAGGAGTTCCCCCTGGGACTCTGCAGTGCTGCTGCCTGGGATGGCCAGGGACAAGGGCAGAGGCAGGTGGCTGCATGGGAGGTTCCTCCAGCTGTCCAGGAAACAGCCCAGCTGTTGGCAGCTGCCAAATGCCACATGCACTGGGCCGCCACCCCCCGCCCCCGCCTACTCACCCCGCCAGAGGCTTCTCTGGACCCTGGAAACTCGGAAGGCTGGGGCCCCGGGAGAGGGAACAGGCCTGCAGACAGGATGGATCCACGAGGCAGGCGGGTAGGCATTTGCAGGTAACTCGGATCCACACCGCCCACGACCAGGGCAGATGCCACCTCCTCCAGTGCAGGCTGGGGATCCAGAGTGGATTTAAACCAACTTGCTATGAAAAGTCCCTGACAGCAATGGGCACACTAACTGGGCCACAAGGTGGGGAGTGAATTAATGACCCAGTTGATCTGTCAGTCATGGGGAGCCCAATGTTAGTCTAACCTCAGCCACGTGGTAACACAGCTCTCCCCTGGAAGTGTCACACACTTCCAGTGACAAGGAGCTCGCTGCCTTCAGAGGCAAGCTGGCGTTAGTTTTTGGGAGCCAGATTCCGCACCTCCTGGGCTCTCTGACAGCCAGCTCAGTCTACACCACAGGTGTGACCAGAACACGTGAGCACCTTTGCTACGGGCTGGTACCCAAGTCTGTGCGCAAGACATTGTGCGGGGGGACTGAGGGTGAGCTCACTGATACAGCATGCTTAGCATGCATGGGGCCCAGGGTTCGACTCCCAGTGCTGCAGAAATAAGAAAATAAGAGAAAGTACAGAGCCTCAGAGACCTCACAGCAGCCCAGGGCTAAATCCAGATCCCAGGTCCAACGTTTAGCTGTTTGCTTGGGAACCGGCAGGCCCTTGGGCTCCTCCTACTCCATCCGCCATGCTGAAGCCCAGCTCAGCCACTGTCTGGACAGGTACAGTTCAGGCCCTGGGGTGTCCAGAGCTGCTCTACGGCGGGGATGGGCCACCCTCTCGCTACGCCTCCGGAGCCGAGGCCGTGTGTGCGCATGCGTGTGCGTGTGCGCGCTCGCGCCCGAGCCTCCAGAGCGAGAAGAACACGCAGCAAGCTGTCGGCACATCCTGCCAAGGCGGAAAGGTTAATTGTCACGCGCGATGCCAACAGACAGACCTCCGGCGGATTCATTTGGTTTTGTTTTGTGGTTATCTTTTTTTTACAACTTTAAATACGGAATATAAATAAATTTTACATTTAAAAAATAAAAGGAAAGCCCCCAAAAATATAATCACCAACTTTACAAACTGAAGGAAGCAGATCTGGGAGGGGGAAGGGAAGTGCAGGGGGAGGGGGAGCTCAGACCCCCACCCGAGGGGCCAGGGCTCTTTTCCCCCCTCCCCCGCCCACCTGCTGTGGTCCTGGGAGGAGCCAGCAGGCCAGACCCTAAGAACCCAAGGGGGGAGTGGGGGCGGGGCAAGAGGCTGTTCCCGCTCCCACACCTTGGCCTGGGCTTCTCACATCTGCCCTGAAGGGAACAGCTGGAGCAGAGGCCTGGGGAATGGAGGCGCGGACCCATACACCACTGGCTCACTCATGTCTGACTACTCCAGGCTGAAGGCTGGGGCAGGGGCACAGCTAGTCCACATGGAGCCTTTGTGTGAATTAGGAAAAGGATCCCTTTCCTCAGACACTTGACCTACATCTGCCAGAAACTGTCAGAATAAATAGATAAATGGGTCATATGTAGGGTGTGAACAGTGCTCCCTGCATGCAGTGCCCTTGTGCAGTCCACACTCTGCACAACCTTACATGGCAGTCTTGGCTGGGCTGGAATATGATGGCAGGTCTCCTACTGCCCTGGCCCCTGGTCTTCCGTCCTAGGGAAGAATGACTGGGGTCTCAATCAGGGGTCCAAGAGCCCATTGGCAGAACAGACCAAAGGGCCAGGGTGAGTGGAAGATGCAGGGTGGAGGTAGAGAAATGAAAGGAAATAGAGGAGGGAATGAATTAGGGTGGACAGGGGAGGCGGGGGTGCCCAGGTCGCCATCTGCTTTCACGCAAAGAGCAAACTTCATCTGTAACCCGCTGGAGGGGGCGCACGGGCACCTGCCCTGGCGAGGCGAGTCTGTCTCCGAGGATCTCAGCGAGGAAATGCAGGAAGCCGCGGAGCGCACAGAGCTGACAGGAGGGCGACGGCCTTCTGGGTGCCGGGAGAGGGGCTACCCCAGTCTGTGCTCCCCGTGTGGTCTCAGCCACCGGATGAGGCACCCGTCTGCCTGGAGGTGTCGTGTCCCCCAGCCGGCCGGCTCCTCGCGCAGCGCTCCTGGGGCCAGGCGTGGGGGACGGAACCCCGTCCCGCCAGTCTCTCTGCTCCTGTCCCTCGCTCTCCGGGTCAAGGGAGGTTGGAGCGATGGAGCTGAGTCCCGTTTGCTCCTTTGGCCCCAGGGCAGGGCTGCTGGCGGGGACTGACGCGGTGGGGGACAGATGCGCGGAGGGCGGGGGAGCACCATTGGCCGTCCGAATCAGGCATCGAGACAGACGGACGAGGGGGACGACATTATCACTCCAAGGACCCCATGGGGGCAATACAGAGAATACCATATTAAATAACCCTGTGGGCCAAGCAGAGGGACACGGGGTCAGAGATAGCCAAGGGTCCTGGGCTGACCCGCACTCACAGGCCACGTGCCAGGCCAGGGAGCTGGCACCAGGCAGCCCGCAGTGAGACCCAAACTGCTCTCGCTTGGGGTGAGAAGGGTACAGCCAGCCTGGGTCTCCAGGGCCCTCAGCCCCACCAGCCCTGCAGCCCAGGCCCCGGGTCAAGGGAAAGGAAACATGGGGCTCCAGCCTCGGTTTCCCCTCTAGACCTCACCTGCCCACATTCTCCTGCCGCCACCACTACGCTCCGAGGGTCTCTTTCAGCGCCTCCTTGTCATGCGTGTGCTTGAACTTGCGGTGCTTCCCTTTGGGGGGCCTGCGGACTCGAACTGTCCGGATGGCCACACGAGTTTGGGGCGTCCTGGCTGCTCGAGAAAGACAGAGAGCTTGTCAGCGCGTGGACGACCATGGGCCCCATCTCTTTTCACCAAGGCCTACTGTAACCTGGGCTAAGCCAAGGGACAGCAGAGGAGTCGGGGACCAGATCACCGGGGCTCCTATCCCATCTCCACTGTTCACCAGCTGTGTGTGCCTATGAGGAATTCCTGGTCCTCTGTGCCTCAGTGTCTCCATCTGTGAGATGGGTAGCAAGACGGCCCACATCACAGGATTGGTGGGAGGAGCACACGTGCTGGCAAAGTGCTTTGGGCAGTGCCTGACAGGCGGGTAGGGTTAAATGCGGCTTCCAATTTGTCATCATGACCCACGGACAGGTGGGGTTTATTTACTGCCCCTGAAACCTGGCCTGCACTCAACCTGTGCGATGAGAGAAGGAGGCAGATGCGGGGGCATGTCTGCTCCAGGTAGGAACCTTTAGGAGGTCCGACACTGACCAGCAGTGTGTGGGCCACACCAAGGCCAGGGACAGCGTCCCAGGTGGCCGATATCCTTGTCGCTGTGCTGGTCCAACTTCACATTACCCACACCTACTAACACGACTCCCCAGTCACACGTGAGCCCAGTCGGTCATTTCCAACGCGTTCATTTGAAGCTGTCCATGACCAGCCCCTTGGTGACGGACCAGCGGCAAGGACAGGACAGAGGCCGAGAGGCAGCCCTGCCTCTAGGCTCACTAGTAAGAGGTGAAGGCAAAAGGGTCCCTAACGACAGAAAGGCACTTACAATCAAAATTGTCACTTACCTGAGTTTTTTAAATGTTCACATAATTGTATTCAGTTAATAAATGATCCTTATGAGATACGGTTAAGGAAGAAAAGGCCCAAAGGACCCAGAACGTGTTTGTCACTACAAACCCTGGTTCTCAGCTCCCTTGACCTCTGCTCAAGGGACCTCGCTCTCCATACAGAAGGACCAGCCCACAGGGCACCCTGCAGGGCTAAAACACAAAAACCCTGAGAAGTTTGTACCAGCAGGGCACAGGCCCGGCACCTAGCGCTCTGGGAGGCTGAAGCAGGACTGCAAGTCAGAGCCCAGCCTCGGCAACTGAGTGACATAGTGAGACCCTGTCTCAAGATAAAGAATGTAAAAAGGGCTGGGGAAGTAGCTCATTGCGAAGGGCGTGAGTTCAATGCCCAGTACTAAAAAAAAAAAAAGGAAAGATGGAAGGGAGGGAGAGAAGGAAGAAGGGAGGAAGGAAGAAAGAGAGAAAAAAGAAAAAAAATCTGCAAGAAGGTGAGAGCCAGCGAGAGCCAAGAACAGAACTGTGGGACTCCTGGTTCCAGCCACATCCCTGCCTGGGTCAGGCCGTGTGGCCTTGGGCAAGAGAACGTCGCCTCTGGGCCTCAGGCGCCTGCTCTGTAAAATGGGTCAGATCAACTCCAGCTGTGAACTCCAGTTCCACTCATCCCCCTGCTGAATGCATGAACCTCATCAGTCACACTTCCTTGCACACACCTCCACTGACGGGGAGCTCACTGCCTCCCAAATCCATTATGGAGCCTGGACTGATCACCAGCTTTTCCATCCTCGTTCCCCCAGTTAAGGCCACAAGCAATTAAGGTGAGTCCTCATCCCCAGAGCAAGTTGTCTAATATCTGAAGATGATGCGCATGGAGCCTTCGCTTGTCCAGATCTTAGTTCTTCCTACCATTCCAGGCACGCGTTCCCCCAAGCAGGGGGCCGCAGTGGTCACACTGGGAATGGCGCTGCTCTTGGCAGGGCGGCCGGGACAGACCTCTTGAAAGAGGCAACTTCAGAGCTGAGGCCCAGAGAAAGAGAATGAGCCAGGCTCACGAAGAGCTGAGAGAAACATGGTCCAGAGACCAGTGTGTGCAAACGCCCCGGGGCAGAAACTCACTCAGCCACTCAAGGACACAGCCCAGTAAGGGTGGCATAAGTGAAGGGGATTGGTTGCTGTGCGGGCCAGAAGGCCAGCTGGGGGCTACATTCTCAGTGTAGGGCCTTTAGCCCAAGGTGGGGAGTCTAGATGTACCCGCTGGCTCCCAGCTGCTGTAGGAAAAAGAGGCTGTGGTAAGCAATTCAGAGTGACCCCAGGAAGGAGGTTACCTCGCTGCTCCTGGGAAGCCCCCTGGCTTCGGGTCGCAGGCCGAGCAGACACCACCGTCTCACACTTGCAGGCCAGGTGGTCCTCCAAGGTCACCGTGGCCTTCTTGAAGGTCGGCTTCCCCCGCAAGATCTCGATCTTCCTCACCTGGAAAACAGGACACCACACCTCTCTGTAGAGGTCCAAGCCTGCGCCCGCCTGAGGCAGAGCTTTCCTCGAAAGCCCAGAGCTGGCCTGCTCGCCACTGCTGCGGCCCAAACAATAGCAGGGCCTTGCCCTCTGCCCCTCTCGGAGCTTTTCCATCAAAACAAGCCCTCCAACCTGGCCTCCGGCTTTGCCGCAGCCCCAGGCCCCCCAGAGAGCGAGAAAGGCATTTCCGGGTTGCGCATGGGGCCCGCGGTGTCCTCATTCCTGGAACGCCAGCAGCCAAGGCCAGGGGCTGAGGCAGAAGCGGCTGGCAGTCTGAAAGGAAGGGGGGGCTTCATCTAGGAGGGCGACAGGAAACGGAGGTCAGGTGTCCATCCATAGAGCTGGAAGCCTTGGGGACAGGACATACAGTGGCAGCGGGCGGCCAGCTGGACAGGGACATTTGTAATTTCACGCACAGGGCGCAGGCCAGGGATGGAAGGTGGGCAGGGTGCGGGGCACGGGCAAGTAGTGATGCATTCGGCCAGGGCCGGCCCTGACCCCCCAGCATGGACCCGGCAGCACAGCCAACCCACATGGGCGCAGGGGCCCTCGGGTGCAGAAGCCTGTCTACGTGATCAGAAGATATGCCCAGCCCACCACGTGCCTGGGGCTCCGTGGCACAGCCTTGGGACCAACGTCCCTGTGCCCACTTCCTCCAGAAAAGAGGCGGCCTGGCACTGACCATTTGCTGGGGTGGGGATGGGGCGGTCCTGGCTCCCGTGTCAGGCCTGGTCCTTGATGGAAGCACAGCTTGCCAAGGTGACACAAGCAGGTGGCAGTGCGCACAGCCCTGCCCGAATCTTCCTCTGAGAGCCCCAAATACTGGGGAGCTGTGCAGGGCACTTGAGGTGTCAGATCCTGGCAGACTCCCCAAGGGGCTTTTGTGGGATTTCAGCCCTGGGGAGAGCTGGGCAGCGCCCACACCCTGCCCGAAGTGGAAAAGCTCTGCCTGTGGCTCTCAGTGACCATAACCTGGACCACCTTGGAGGACAAATGGTGCAGAGCCCAGGACACCCCGGGAGACCCCCCTCACACACACACCAACACGGAAGCCGGGGGACGGGGCCTCGTACCTGCACAGGTCGCAGCTGCACCTGCGTGGGCCGGCACTGCACGTTGCGGTTGTTGCAGCAGCCGGAGCAGCGCTGCACCTCCACGCAGGGCGGCCACACCAGGAAGTTGGCGTTGGTGCGGTCGATGAGGTTCCGCGAGATCTGGAACACCTCCGTGCGCGTCTTGCACTCGGCGATCATGGCCGGCTCGGCCACCGTCAAGGAACCTGCGGGAGGGGAACCTGGTCAGTGTCACTCACATACAGAGAAACTGAGGCTCGGAGAAGCCACCCACGTCACAGACCCAAGCAGTGGAGCTAAGGGACCTGACTTGTACCTGTAGGGTGCCTCGGCCACATCTGCAGAGTTTTGGAGACCTCGAGTGGGCAAAGGATAGGAGGCCTCAGCAAGCTTCTCAGGGGCCTAATCATCTAGGAGCTCCCTGGCTCCATCAGTTCTAAGCTGTGTGACTTCATCTACTTCTTTACCCTCTCTGGGCTCTTGCTTACAGTTCTCTGAAACTGACTGATGACATTCACCTCTAGGGACAGAGGAAGGAACAGTAAGAAGAAAAGCTCTCTATTTAGGAGACCTTATCATGACACCGGGGTGTAATGACTAACGCCGAGGCTGGTCACACAGTCCTGGCTGGCTGAGCCCTGAGTGTGGGGGAAGGGAGTCTGGGCTGTCCTGGAGTCACACTCCCCTTCTGCTCCGGGTCCCAAACTTTGAGGGGCCACTACTGGGGCACTGGGTCTTACCCAGGCTCCTCCTCCCACGAGATGAGCCTTCAGCCTCGCGTGCTGAGTGGGCCCGGGTCACGTTCAGGTCCAGCTCGGCCCCATCTTCATCTGCAGGAGAAAGCATTGGATGCTGCTCTGTGGGACGGGTGGATGACTGTTCAGGGTTCCCACAGGGCTCCAGGCAGCATGAGGACCACTCTTCGCACCCCAAGAATAGCCCCTCAGTTTTCCAGGCTCCTGGCCCTAAAGGAAACCCCAGGTGGCCATGCTTGGGAGTGCTGCAGCCTGGCTGCCTCTTCGGGGTGCCCCCACCCCCACTCTGGGTTCTTCAGCCATATTTCTGGCCAGAACCCATATCCATGGAGTTAAAAATAACCGTTCCCCTTTGCTACTGTAAGTGAACCCTCCTTGGCCTCCAGGGTGGGGCGAGGCCCCAGCACTGCAGCAGGCCGGTTCCCAGTGCCCCTCCGCCCCAGCGTTCCCATAGGAAGTGCTGAATGGAGAAATTCCCAGAATCCCCAGGGGGGCAGCAGGCCCTGATCACAGCCGCTCTGGAGCCCGGACAATGGCCGTGCAGGGCTGGGGAGAGAGAGGGCGGAGGGGACAAGGGTGGTAACTAAAGGCAGAGAAGGGGTTGGAGACCCTGCGCCACGTGCCCTGCTAGGCCTGGGCTGTACCCTTGTTGTCAGCCTCTGTCTCCTTTCCTTCCTTTCTCTAAGCTCTCCAGGCTGGACAGCTCTCACCTTAGTGCCATCAACACTCCTTAGGGACCTCATCCCGCTCTAGAGATGGTGGCCAGAGTGAGGCTGGGGGAAGAGGCTTTTATTTTTAGTACTAGAACTCAAACTCAGAACCTCATGCTTGCCAGGAAGGCGCTGTGCCACAGAGCTATATTCCATGGGGAGGAGGCTTTGAGCTTAAACTCGAAGGTAGATGGCCCCTTCCGTCTCTCTCTTGGAGGGAGGGGCCCCCAAGCCAACTCAGGGGTCCAGGGGACAAGCCCAGGCCACCTCCCCTGGCACCAAGAGCTCACACCTCACCCTAGCCCATGTGCTGGTCAAAGACAAAGGCCTCTGCAGGCTGCTATCCATTGTCTGGGATCCCATGGGATCCTGTTTGGAGAAGACCGTCCTGCAGTATAGCCTGTGACTGGTCAACTTCCGCTGGACTGCTTCCACGTCAGTGTGTCTGTCTGTCCCTCTCCCTTCCTTTCTCCCTGCCATCTCTGGAATGTCCCTGGTGGGGAGGAGATGGGGGGAAAGATGGGCTTTGTGGAAAGGTTAAGTTGATTAGGAAAAAATAGCCACATGGCTGCCTCGGAACAGGCCCGCTATTGAAAAGCTCACGTCCAAGATCCTGACCCCCACCAGGGGCGTGGAGGGGCCGGCCAAGGGTGGCGGGGGCCTTGGAAAGAGACGGCAGAAAAGCTAAATTTGGAAGTTGCCCCATTGTGTGGCCAGGGTTGGCCAGTCGGGCACCGGGTGGAGGTGGTGGGAGACGCTGGGTGGGGGCCCTGGTACACAATAGGTGGGCCCAGCTGGGGCCCCCTCCGGCCTGCCTCACCGCCCCCCAGTGCAGGCAGGATTGAAAGGGCCCGGGAATGCTTTTGAGAAGGAGCCAGGGGCCCAACGGGGAGAGGAGACAAAGGCAGGAAACGCTGCTCCCCCGTAGATAGCGTCTGGGCAAGGATTACAAAGTGACAAAGAGACAGAACCCCAGAGGGAAGGGGGCCCGGGGGTGCAGGGGGGTGCGGACCGGGGCTCCGGGGACCAGGCCAGAGGTGAGAATAGAATGGAATTTGCTCTGAAGACAGCGTTTATAAATACATTCCCAGCCCAGCCCGCCGGCCCCGCCACGTGTGTGCCACTAAGCACGTGCCCGCTCGCTGAGCTTGCGCTTGGGCACAGGCAGGGCTGCAGGCCGGTCCAGGCCAGGTGTCCCCAAGAGACCTCGCAGACTGGGCCCTCGGCCAGAGGGGCAGGGAGATGGCTCCTCAGGCACCACCCTGCCTGACTGTGCCCGCACCTGGAGAGACACTCAGCAGAGGCCCTGGGCACCTTCTCCCTTCCTGCCCTGCCCCAGCACCCCACCCTCTGCACCACGCCAGAGCCACACAGGGGTGCTTCTGCTGCTGCACCCCAGGTCCCAGATACCGCCCCGTCTGCCTCCTGAGCCCGCCCTGGGTGGGTGTAGGGGGGCCAACCACGGGACCCTAGTTCTCTGGACATCCATGGAGGGCGGGCCTTGCCCTGCCCTTCCAGGATCCCCTCAGGCCCAGTGGAGGCCACAGTGCTGGAAGATTCGATTTACCTACGGAGTCTCCGTGCAGCAGGCGCTGGAGGTCGTCAAAGGAGCGGATGGACTGGTCACTCAGCATCTCATAGAGTTCCTCAGGAATGGGGTCCCCCTGCCAGGCAGACACCAGGGGGCTGGGTGAGCTGGGGTGGTCTTCCCCAGCCACCAACTTTCTCCACAGAAACTTCCTACAGGGCCCCTTCAGGCTGGGGCAGGCAGGATCTGGGCTGACAACCACCGGGAGCCTGGGGACCTGAACCTCCGAAACCCAGCTCTGAAACCACCCTGGCTCCACCCTGCAGCCAGGAACCCCAGCTTGATGCCAGCGAGACCTGCCTGTCAACCTCAACTACCAGTCCTGGGGAGGATCCAGCAACCCAATTCCTTTCTGCCTCTCCCACATCTGAAAGCTAAGGACAGCTGATTAGTATCACGGGTGGTCTACATACCCCCATTCTACAGAGGAGAAAATAGAGGCTCAATTAGTGAACACCCTCTGCCCAGAGACCACTACTACGTGGAAGCTCACTGCAGCCCAGGCCCTTGTGACAACAGAGCCCGCATCCCAGCCTCCTGGAAACAAGGGGTACGTAACAATTCCTGCGGAGCCCTATGGGCTTGGGAGGCCACGTGTGCCAGCCATGCCTGCGTAGACTCTCACCCAAAAGAGAGGAGGGAATCCTCAGCCCCAGCCGGGAAACCTGAACGCTTACCCATGCCCATGCCCAGCCAAACCCTATTTTTAGAGTCCCTCTGGCCTGTCACCAAACACACTTGAAACTTAATAAGCACTTTAACAGGCCCCGCTCAGTGCCGGGCTTCCTCCAGGGAAACCACAGGTCCTGCAATAACATGAGAGTGGCCTGATAGGAAGGGCCCCACTGCGTGCCCCGCGATTCTGGGAGACGCGAGAGGAGGAGAAGGCCCATCGCCAGCCGCCACGGCCACACACCCGGAGGCTCTGCCCCGACCAGCTGCACACATAGGCCCCGCGGCCCGGGGGAGGCCAGAGGGCACCAACACTGGGGCACACCACACCGTGCCTCAGTTTCCCTGAATGAGAGGAGGAAGCCCTGCCCTTCTCTGTTCACTGAGCATCTCTGGGACGAGAGTCGGGAAGCTGAGCTCCTCCTGCAGGGGCGCTGTCTCCCACTGCCAGGGGCAGGGGAGCATCTCAGTTCCCCAAAGCCGTGTGGGGCGCGGCTGTGCCGCTCTGGCCCCCACCGTGGGCTGGGAGCTGTGAGAGCCAGGGCCTGGGTGGACAAGACCCCTGTGAAAGCTCTTTCCCGAAACCCCTCCTCGATTGTGGCGCTGGCAGCCCCTCAGGTGCCCCAGTGGCCCCGGCTGTACCACCGGCTGGGATGTGCAGGACGGAGGAAGGGTGCAGCCCAGCCCCTCACTTTTGTCCCACCTTCCCCCACACCCCAGACTTCCTCCCCTCGCCCGAGATCACACTTTTGACATTCTCTGAATGTTGACCAGGCACCCAATTCAAGGGACAGAAGGCTGGCAGCTGGTGTCCAGGGAAGGCCACTGCCCTGAATTTTGTCCAACACAGAACTGATGGTTCACAGAACACTGTAACTGCTGTGTGACCTGAGGTTGGTCACTACCCGTCTCTGGTCCTCACTCTCACCTGTCCATCAAGGGGGATGAAAAATATTCCATTTGATTCTAATGCTGCCTGGGCGTAGCAGTAGCGGCAGAGGAAAGACAAAGTGGGGGTGCCCAGCCTGGCCACTCTCAGTCACTCCCAGGAGGGGAATAAGGAGTATCGGTGGAGTAATGATTCAAGTGACCTCCAGGGGTGGGGCCAGAAGGCGAAATGGCACTTGGTGCTTGTGCCAAGATCTGCATGCCCACTGGAGAACTGGCTGTGGCTGCCAGTTCGGGCAAAACAAGCAGACCTCAAAGAGGGCCACTAGGGGCCCCACATCCCAGCACACGATGCAGAGGAGCTGACTTGCAGGAACACGCTCGAGGCCTAGGAGGCTGAATGGAGAAAGACTATGGAGGTGGGGAACGCACACAGTAGGTGCTCAATAAACGCTGGTAAAATTAGTGCAGGACCCTATACCATCTCCCTGGGGTCCTCTCCAATGTAATTCTCCCACCCTCTCTACCAGGAGGGCCAGCTGGATGTTCTTCGCCCACACCCTGGCAAATCCTCTCAAGTAGGGAAGCCATTCCTATGCCTGCTGCTGGTGGCCAGGCCACTAGATGCCCAGCATCCACCCCAAACCCCATATTGGACAACGATACGACGATACCACACCTCACATTCACCAACCACTGACCACAGCCAGGTACTGGCTGAGCAAAATGCAGTACAAACCGCCCATCCTAAAAAGCGGGCAGTTTTTGTTTTTGTCTTTTTGAGACAGGGTCTCCCTATGCAGTTCAGGCTGGCCTCAACCTCATAACGATCCTCCAGGCCACCACACCTGGCCTGGCTGGCGCCATTTTTATCCCTATCTTCCAAATGAAACAACTGAGGCTTCGAGAAATTAAGTAAGTAGCCACAGGTCTAGATGACCAGCTGGATCCTTCTCAGGCCCCAGAATGCGCCCCTTTTTCTGCCCCTCATGGAGTGCTGCTTCTCCATTCCAGTGCCACTGGTCCTGGGCACCGTCAAGGCCCCCGTCTTCTCTTTACTCCCACGGTAAAGAGCAGTGATAAGACACCAGCACGGTCTGAAGACACTTTTGGAGACCACAACCAAGAGGCATACTCTGATCTAGCAGGAGAGGCAGGAACACTGCTCAATTCCCCCAGCGCCTAGCAATGTGCTGCAAAATAAAGCCTCGCTGGTCTCAAATATCAAAAGCACAGAGGTTGGGAAACCCTGCGGCAGACAAGGGCAAGGCCTTCGGATGCCAGGGGAACCTGGACCGTCAAGGCAGATCCTTCAACCGTCAAAAATCTCACCTTCTTCATTTTGGAAATGGGGCTAAGAACACCTCGCCAGGGGTTATTTCGAGGCATAATCACAGGCAGCTGAGAACCCAGCAAATAACGAGTGCTTTGCGAGTTGTCGCTGTCACTGTGATTCCTTCTTTCAGCACGGCACCTTTGAGAGCAGCAGCAAGTGGCACAGGTGCCCTGGGACATTTTCAAGGCTGTCAGTGGGTGGGTGGAGAGCTGCATGATTATAGGAGGGTGCGTGACTGCACTGTACCCTATGGGGCCACAGGAAATGGTGCCCTGTCCCACTGACACCAGCTGATCTTGTGTGGGTTGAAGGGTCCCTTCCGGGTGGGGCTGGAGGAGGTGACAGTGGGGGCAGCCAGCCTGTGGTCAGCTCCAGGATGCGATGCCCTGGGGACCCTTGCAGGACACCTGTTTAGAGTCACAACCCGCACTGGGCGTAGGAGGGCAAACAGCTCTGAGCCCTGCTTTCCTGGTCACAGGATCTGGAGGCCTCTAGGTGGGCACCACAGACAAGAAAAAGGGAGAAGACCCTGAAGAAGCTGCCCTAGATCTCAGGTCTGGGGCTGCTGGCAGGGTGAGGGCGTGGTGAGGAAGCAGTTGGGGCAAAGCCAGCCCTGGGAGCCAAGGCAAACAGCCTGCTCCCCGCCCTACCCCCAACGCCAGCTGCAGGAGGCAGGAAGGGCACGAGCAAGCGTGAGGCCAGGTGAGTTACCTGCTCCCAAGCAGGCTGGCAGATCAAAGGGGCTTGAACCCCACCCTCCACCTGGGCCCCAGTGCACACACGAGAAGGCACATGCGCGCGCGCACACACACACACACACACACACACGCCCCAGCAACCAGGGGCGGTGTCTGCGCTGGCAGAAAGAGAAGTTGACAGGGCCTCCTCACGCCTGCCTGCCTGCCTGCCTGCCTGGGCTCTCAGGCCTTATTTAGATCAGAGGCCAAAGCCAAACCCTTGAAGAAGCCCTCTCCGGGCAGACCACAGAAGCAATTTCACACCAGCTTTTCCCACCAGCAGTTCCCTTCCTCACGGCTCCTGGGACTCTCCCTCCTGCTCAGCCTCCCTTCCTCCAGCAGCCCAACCCACCCACCTTCCCATCTCTTGCTAGAGCAAGAAAAAACATCAGAGCAGGAAGAGCTCAGCAGCAGTGTACAATCCTGGCAGCCCACTGTGATCACTGCCCCCGCCCCAACTCCGAGGCAGGTAACCGCATCCCGGGAGCTCTCGGCTCACCCAACCTGCTCAGGTTTGTTTTAGGTGGCAGAAACCAAAGCCCAGCTATAGAGACACTGCCTGATTCTTCTTCCCTCTGTGTCTTCCTCTCTGTCCTTTCCAGTCCCTGACAGTCCAAGTCCCAAGACAGGGAGGAGGAACACATGCTTGCCTTCCAGTGGTGGGAGACCTCAGCAGACAGATGCCGGCAGGAGGGCAGCATTCGCTGTCCTGGCCACACTTACTGTTCAATCTCCAGGCACCGTGGTGGGGACGTGGGGACCCAGAGCAAAGCACTCTAGTGCAGTTTGCAGTCCCGTGGAGGAAGACAGATAATAAACAGCAGAATCAACCAGAAAATGAAAAGAGTGGCCACAGAAAGAACATCTGAAGAGGGGAAGAGAAGACTGTGAGGGACTTACAGTAAACACCTTGAGCTAATCTCAGACACATTTCCTGGCTCTTGCACCAGAGTCTCCAAATTCTGTTTGACCTTGACCTTGCACACCTCCAGGACTCGGGGATGCAGCCAAATTGCTTTCCCATCCCCTGAGGCCATCAGCAGACCAGGAAGAAGCTGGGTAGTTAGAAGCTGTGGGGCCCCCACTCGGCTTCCCGGCAGAAGGGTGCTCAGCCAGAAGAACATCACATGACAGTGGGAGTCACCTTCCGGGAAGCCAGCTCAGCTGATGGGGATGGGACCTGGGTGGCCTCTGCAGACCCTGGGCTGACCCCGCCCCACAGCTCCCACCCTCCTTCCCGGCTGCTGAGGCCTCCACCAGATTCAGTGCAAGCATGCTCAAGGGCATGCGCAGCTCCAGGGCCACCCCCTGCAGCAAACGCTCCCTGAGTTTCCCTAGCTGTACTGGCAACTAGGAGGTGGCTCTCACACTGCCGTGTAGTCCCCTTCCCCCAGGGCCGCAGAAGCTTGTGCAGGATTATTTTTAAAAAACGCTTCACAAACTGCAAAGCTGCAGATACAATAGCCAGGCCCTGCAGGGGTGTGGTCCAGGCTGCTGGGACTCAACTGAAAAGAAAAGCTGAGTTTCAGCACCCTGGCCTCCACCCCAAACGCACACATGAGGTGTGGGAGAGTAGAGGTGCTAGAGAATGGGGGGGTGGGGGCTGTCCCAAGCACCAGGGATCAGCCAAAAGGGAAACAACTCGGGCTGGGAGCAACCTCATCAGTGGCCCGCAGCATCCCTGCTGTCCAAGAGATTCACAGGTGGGCCCCTTGAAAGGAGAAATGCTCCAGACAGCCCCTGCCCTTCAGCTAAATCTGCGCCATTTTCAGCCACATGGGAGTGGTTCAAAAAAACAATCTCAGAGAAGTAAGGTTTGAGGGGCACGAAAACTGCTCTGACCAGGCAAAAAGAAAAACGGTAAGGGCCAGGGATATATAGGTCAGCGGCACAAACGCCTGCCTGGCAAGCGCAAGGTCGTGAGTTCAATTCCCAGTACCGAAAAAGAAAGAAAGGAAGGTGATAAGAAAAGACTGCTGTGGTGCCAGGACCTAACAGCAGAGCTGTATTTCCTCCTAGGACCCCAGGAAGGAAATGGGGTCGTTACAGAGGCGGCGAGGTGCCAGGGCCCACCTGTTGCGTGGGGGCGGGCACCTGGCGCCGAGTGTACCGGGGCGGTACGTGCCTATGTACGTGCGTGGGTGTGCGCACACGTGTACTCAGGCTTCGTGTGCAGCGGCCATGCGTGCGTTCGTGTGCGGTGCGCGCGCGTGTGTCCCGCGTGTGCACGGGCGTGGCGGCGGCGGCGGCGGGCGCGCGACCTGGCCACGGTAGTGCGTGCCCGTCGCTCTGCGCGCCCGCCCGCCGGAGCGCAACATCGCCTCCGGCCAGGAGTGTGCATGCGTGGGGTGAGTGAGCGAGTCGGGGGCCGGGCGGGGTGGGCTGTGGAGTGCAGCCGCGGGGCGCCGCCGTTCCCAGGACGCCCTGGCACCGGGCCAGCCCCCAGGTCCCACGGCAAGGCGGCAGCTGGAGCCGGCCGGGGCCCCCTTCCCCAACAGCTGGCTGCGACCCGGGTGGCTGCGGGAGAGGCGGGGAGACGGCGTCGCAAGGGGCCTGCAGGCTGCCGGGCCAAGCCCCGCGTCCTCCCTCCCGGGTGCGGGCCGCGGGGGGCGGCCGCGGAAGGGCGGGGCCCCAGGGCGGGCGGCCGGCGGCCCTCGAGGAGCCCCGAGAACAAAAGGAGACGGAGACGGCTCCTCCGTGGTCAAAACAACCTGCGCTGGCGGCGGCCCAAGGCCTGGCCGCAGCCTCAGAGCCCAGCGCCTTAACCCCTTCGCCGCCGCCTCCCGCTTCCTGCGCCTGGCTGGAGGCCGAAAGGGCTGGCCCTGCCGGGACCCGCCAGGCGCGGGCTGCGGGTGGAGGCGGGACTGGACCCGGGCTCGCCGCGCTCGCGCCGCCCTCGCCTCCCGCACCTCGCCTGCCCGGCCCCGCCCCCTTCCCACCTGGATTCCGGGTAGACTTGCCAACTCACTGCTACGTGAGGCCAGGAGGGGTGGCGGCACCGATCCGACCTGATCGCTCCGCAGACGTTCCCGTGCCCCACCTCGCTGTCAGCTAGGTTTTGGCAGGCGGCGCGCTCCCTCCGCACCCTCCATGCGGGGGAAGAGGGTCGCTTCCTCTCGCGGGGCGCGGGCGCAGGTATGGTGGGCCTCAGGCACACTCCGCCCTGACAGCTGGATTTTTGGAGTCTCGGGTCCTCCTCTCACCCCATGCGCGCCCGAAGACCACCGGCGCATGCCTGCCTGCCCTTTCTCTCTGGGACCCCTGCGCCCAAGCCACAAACAGCTCCTGGGGTGTACTCGAGCGTGGGGCATGCCCTGCGTGGCCCGAGGTGCCCGTCCTAATCCAGAACAGAAGCCTGGGCGACACCTGAGCCTTCGCCAAAGATCGGCATGGATGTCACGGGTGCGCGAGCTCACACCTCCCGAGCGGGGTGGGTCTTGGACAGACGCGAAGGCCACCTTGGAGCCGACGTGGGTTTGAAAGGACTAGCCGCCTTCTGCGCCCTGGGCACCACCCCACTTCTCCCCCACCCGGGAAGGAGCTGATACTCGGGTTCCTGAGGGAGGGGGTAGGGCTCCCCCCACACCCTCCCCAGACGCTAGGAAGCTCCGGAATCTGGGTTCGCCCCTTGGGAAGAAACCGCCGCTGCCCCTTCCCCTTAGAGTCTGGCATCTCTGGACCTTGCCTCCTAGCCCTCAGGGGCGCGCACAGCGCCAGGCTCACAAGCTGCAGGAGTCCAAAGTTCACCGCAGGAGGAAAGGGGGCGGCCAAGCGTGGGGGTGGGAGAACAGCCCCCGCCGCCGTCGCAACTCACCTCGGCGCTGACCAGACGCAGGTAGCAGCAGAGAGACAGGAAGAGCGCCCAGCAGCGATTCATGCCGACTCCGGGCCCGGCCCCGCGGGGCCCCGGACGCGTAGACCGAGCGCGCCGCCCCCGCGGCCAGGGTGGGGGGCTGGGGAGGAGAGTGGGCTCCGCTCGGGTCCGCGGTGATCAGGAGCTCAGGCCGCTGCAGCCGCCGCCGCGGCTCACCCGCATGGCCCCTGGGCGCCGCCGCCCGCGGCCCCGGCTCCGTCGCTGGGGGGCTGGGGATGACCACGGTCGGAGACTGCTACCTGGGCGGATCCCGAGCCCGCGCGAGCATCCACGGCCGGGGGGCTGCGTCGCGAACCAGCCGAGGCGTCTAGCCGTGTGGGGGCGCGCAGGGTACTCCAACCTCCGAGAGGAAAAGGAACACGCCAGGCAGGCGATGGTTCGTCTTCACTCGCCGGCTGAAGGCGTTTTCCTCTGCCCGCTGGCTTAGCTTTTTTGCAACATTTTCTGGATAGGTCTCCCAAATCAGAAAGCTCTAGGCTGGGCACCTCAAAGCCCAAATCTCCCCCAAAAAACTTTTTCCAAAGTTGTCTTTGCAGCTGCGGCTCGAGCACCCGGGCAGAGAGAGGTGCAAACTCCCGCCCGGGCCGGCGGGGGGGCGGGCGGG